ACCACACCACACCACACCACACCACACCACACCACACCACACCACACAACACAGTACCGGTGCAGACGACATGGCAATGGATGACCCAGAAGTGTAAATGGTCTCCACACATCTGCTGCCCTATCTCAGAGCTAAGACCTGTAACGCTGAGCAACACTGAATGCTCTAGAAGAGGCCAAACTGGAGAGATGGCTCAGCACTTAAGAACAGGGACTGTTCTTGCCGAGGACCTGGGTTTGGTTCCCAGCACCCGCATAGTGGCTGACAACTGTCTCTAATTCCAGTTCTAGAGGATTCAGTGCTCCTTTTGGTCTCCTCTGGCACCAGAAGCATACATACACACAGACAAAATACTCATAGACATAAAATAAAAATAAATAAACTTTAAAAAGATTTAAAAATGGACAAAACAGGTGGTATGGGCTGGTAAGATGGCTCAGTGGGTAAAAGTGCTTGCTGCTAAGTCTGAAAACCTGAGTTCAATCCCCAGGACCCATACAATAGGAGAGCATGGGTTATTTTTTAAAATAATATTTATGCATAGATTAAATAATATATATGCAGGGCTGGAGAGATGGCTCAGAGGTTAAGAATACTGACTGCTCTTCCAGAGGTCCTGGGTTCAATTCCCAGCAACCACATAGTGGCTCACAACCACCTCTGTGATCTTTGCCCTCTTCTGGCCTGCAGGCATACATGGAGGCAGAACACTGTGTACATAATAAATAAAATATCAAAAAATATGCATGTATTATTTAACTTTATTTTATGTGCATTGGTGTGAATGTATCAATATATTAAGTCCCCTGGGACTGGAGTTACAGACACTTGTGAGTTGTCACATGGGTACTGGGAATTGAACCCAGGCCCTCTGGAAAAGGTGCTTTTTAACTGCTGAGCCATCTTTCCAGCCCAAGAATGTATCCTTACAAGTTATTCTCTGATCTCCATATTTCTGCACATGCAGACATACATGGATATTTGTGAGTGCACACACACACACACACACACACACACAGACACACACATGTTCAAGGCCAACCTGAACTACATGAGCTGTCTCGAAAACTTTGGAATGACACTGCAAGAAATGCTCAGTGCTTCCTGTACATAATGAACCAACCGTCTCTAGACAAACAGGAGCCCCTCCACCACATGAATCCCACTGCATATAACGGGCTCTATTGGTATGTTAAACACCACACTAGCTTTCCTAGACATTTTTGGAGAGTTATGTTCCACCCTCCTATCTGTTACACATTGGTAGGGAAAGAGGTTTGGACCCTTCTAACTAGACAGTGACCCCTTGTATGCTGGAGAAAAGAAATACCTAAGGAATGACTGGAAAAGGCTTGCTATTCTGACTACAACCAGCAGGTGACAGGACAAACATGTTCATCTTCCTGGAAACACTCTGGCATGGAGCAAGAAACAGACTATGAAACATAGACTATGGAACCCACCCAAGGGATTCGGAGCTCTTGCTGAGTCTGGGCCCCCCACAGGAGCCTCTCAATGATCCTTCTAATGAGGTAGGCCGGGAACTTGGAAGACTGGATGCTCTCTGCCCAGCAAATGAGACAACATTTGGAAACGTGGAAAAACAGTGGGACTTGGGGAGCCTGGTCCAGATCACTGGCCTAGAGAAGTCCAGGTTAGAGCTAATTCCTTGCCACTCATCATCGAGGCTCCAAAACCTGCATAGGCTTCTTACTCAAGGGGGGTTTCTGCCGCCCAAATCTACAGGACTCCAGTCAAGTCACACCCAGATGCTAATGGGAGGTCTTCCATAGTGTGGGCCCAAGTAATCAACCTTGGCTTCTGATGCTCAGACCAAGTGCAGAGCCCTTGGGAATGAGCTAACATCAATTCGTCTGTACACAAGGGGAGCGATGATGTGAGCTGGGTCTGGGGTGAGCTGTGTCTGGGGTGAGCTGGAGAGTGTATGCTCTGCCTGAGGGCAGCTCCATTGTGCAGATACACATGGGGATGAGTACTCAATTTGGTTAAAGGTGGCAAGCATTTCAGGTGATGCCAGAAGTTCGTGGCTCAAGTGGCTTTCTACATTATTTTATTCCCTAAAAATTTTTATTTTAGGGGCTGGCAAGATAACTCAGCAGTTAAGAGCACCGACTGCCCTTCTAGAGGACCTGTGTTCAATTCCCAGGACTCACATGACAGCTCACAACTGTCTGTAACTCCAAGACCTGATACCCTTACACAGACATGCATGCAGGCAAGGCATCAATGCACATAAAAAATAAACAAACCATTAAGAACTTATTTTATGTGTATGTGTGAATGCCTGCAAGTATGTATGTGTCTAGTGTTCTCTGAGGGCAAACATGGCATTGAATTTCCTGGAGTTACCAGTGGTTGTGAATTAACATTTGTATCCTCAGAATTGAACCTGACCTCTGCAGGAACAGCCTATGTTCTTTATTTTTTTTTGTTTGTTTTCTCTTTTTTTTTTAAAAAGAAATTTTTATTTATTTGTTATTTATATAGAGTTCTGCCTGCATGTATTCCTCCTGCAGGCCAGAAGAGGGCACCAGCTCTCATTACAGATGACTGTGAGTCACCATGTGGTTGCTGGGAATTAAACTCAGGACCTTTGGAAGAGCAGGCAGTGCTCTTAACCATTGAGCCATCTCTCCAGCCCCTGTTTGTTTTCTGAGGCAGGGTTTGTCTGTGTCTTGGCTGTCCTGGAACTCGCTCTGTAGATCAGACTGGCTTCTAACTCACAGAGATCTGTCTGCTTCTGCCTCCCAAATGCTGGGATTAAAAGTGTGTACCACTAACACCCAGCTAAGCCTGTGTTCTTAACCACTGAGCCAGCTCTCCAATCCTTCTCCCTTTATCACTTTCTCCCCCTTTCTGTCTCTCCCTTCTCTCCTTCCTTCCCTTTCTTCCTTTTTTTCTTTGTAGCCAAGGCTAGCCTTGAACTCTCTACCTCAACAATGATTTTTATTGGACTTACAGAACTGCTTGAAGGGTTACTCACAGGAGTATGGAGACTCCAAAGCTGCCACAGTGGAAAGTCTTTGCCCAGTCTGGATGATGGCTTCCCTATAGCTGCCTAGAGGTTTTCCCTAATTCAGATAACCTTTCCTAGCTTTTAACTTTGAATGTCTGATCCTCCTGCCTCAGCTTTCAGAGTGCTGGGATTACAGTGGAAATCACTGCACCTCATTTTACTTTAGATTTTTTTTTTTTGAGAAAAGGTCTCATGAAGTTCAAGCTTACCTTGAGCTTGGTATAGCAAAGAATGACTTTGAACTTCTGATTCTCCTACCCCTACCTCCAAGTACTGGGATTATAGGTGTGCACTCGCGTCTGGATTTATGCAGTGTGAGACATGGAACTGGGGGCTTCACAAATGCTAGGTGAGCACTCTACCAACACAGCTACACCCCCAGCCCCTCTCTTTTACTGAGACAGTCCTATGCTGTAGTCCAGGTTGACCTTGAACCCCCAATCCTCCTGCTTGTGCCTACAAATGATTACTACTTCAAAGGAGGGACTTGGTTCCTAAAGGGTAGTAGGAAGGGCTAAACCTTCTAGGAGGTTCCATCCAGCCTGCCAAATCTTTTCCAGTACAGACACAGAAAGATCTTGCTGTCTGGGCCCCAAGAAGATTGTCCTGTGGTTGATTGACGAGCATGAATTGAATCATGTTGCCGATGTTTAACATACTAAGGGGGAGCTGTGTGTGTGTGTGTGTGTGTGTGTGTCTGTGTGTGTGTAATAGTTTTAATCCTTGACACTGGTGAGACAGGGACAAAGTTTAAGCTTCCTTGGAACCTCTGACTTCATCCTCAGCATAGCCTCCTACCAAGCCAGTTTTTATAGACGGTGATGAAACTGAGCCCAGAGATAGGCCAGCTTGAAGCCACATGCAGAAAACAAGCAGCAGGCCTGCCCCAGCCTGCCCTGTCTACAGGAAGAAGCTGGTTTATGATCATGACTGTGGGCATTTGCTTCTTGGTGCCACTTGATAATCCCTACAGCACTGCTGCTGTGGTTAAAGAGAGGCTCTTGTAACCATGTACGTCATCATTCACGAGGGGAAAAGTTAAGGTTTTCAGGGTTCCATCCCTGATTCTCATTTGCTCATGGGGACAGCCCACGAAGCAAGGGTCGCCGGACTGCTCAGAGCTCTTCCACTGCCCACCGGTTGCCCCACCTTAGGCCACGCCCCAAAGGCCTACCTTGTGATGTCGCCGCTTCCTCCTAAATCGCAGCAGCTCCTTGTGTTGCCTGGACACGAAGTTCACGGCCGCATATTCCAGCAGAGCCGAGAACACGAAGAGCAGGCAAACGGCCATCCAAATGTCAATAGCTTTCACATAGGACACCTGGAGTGAAGGTGGGAGAAAGCACGGGGAGGTGAGGGGAGAGGAAAGGGTCCTGAAATAGTGGGTGGAAGATTCCAGAGATAAGCAGTTTGTAAGCTTTAGGTCCTGCCCTGTTCTGAACAGTGCGATGAACTCTCGCGTTGTCCTACTCCATCCTGCCGATAACATAAGCCATTCTCTCCCAAGCGTATCCACTCTGTGTTCACGACGTGGCCACGCGCATTAACAGATGGACTCTGGCCAAAGCTTAATTTACTTAATAATGGCTCCAAAGTGCAAACACAGTGATGTTGGGAATTTGGATATGACTAGAAAAGCTACAAAAGGCGTCTTTCAAGCAAAACGGCGAAGTTCTCAATTTAATATGGAAAGAAAAATACACTTTGTTGACATTGATAAGATCTACATCAGCAACACATTTTCATTTTAAAAAAATTCTAACTTTATTTTTTATTTTGCGTATTTATATATAGATATTTTGTGCGTGTGCACATGTGTATGTGTGTATGTGTTTATGTCTGTGTACCACATGCCTGCAGTTCCTGAAGAGGCCAGAGAGGCACTGGACCCCTTGGGACTGCAGCTACAGAAAGTTATGAGCTACCATGTGGGTGTTAGGAATTGAACCTGGGTCCTCTAGAAAACCAGTCAGTACCGTTAACCACTGGGCCATCTCTCCAACCTAAGGATATGTTAAAAAAGATTTATTTTTAAATTCTACATTTCAGTGTATATTTGCATGTGAGTGTAGTATCTGCAGAGACAAGATGAGGTCCTCAGATCCTCTGGAGCTGGAGGTATAGACAGTTGTGAGCTGCCCAGTGTGGTGCTGGGAACTGAACTTGGGTCCTGTGCAAGAGCAGCAAGCACCCTTAACCTCTGAGCCATCTGTCCATCTCCACAGCAGAACACATTTGTCTACAAAATTATGGTATGCATAGGAAAAAAATATGGCATAGAGGGTTTGGTACCACTGTCTTTTTATGCAGTTGCCAGAGGGAGAGCACAGTGGAGTGTCCCTTGAATACGATCCCTGGGGATAAGAGGAGATTGTTGTATTGCGTGCGGATGGGGCATTGCCTGCTCTTCAGGAACTTCCCTCACTCCCCTCCGCTCTTCAGCAGGGATATTCGGATGGAAGGAGCAGAGGAAGATAGAGAAGGCATGTTGAACAAGCTGAGCAGAATGTCAGGGAAAAAGTACGATGCTGACATGAGAAAGGATGAGAGGAGAATGATGCACCGCCATCGCCTCGTCTGTGGAGTGGAGCATTGTATTCCAGTTTGAGAGGATGCTGGACTGAGCATTGGCATGAAAGGAGGCTGTTAGCAAACAGCACTGTCAGACTCTCAGAAACCATGCCTTCACGGAATCATTGACCGCACTGGCAGAAACTGCTACAGTCACGTGACCCAGACTTCTCTTGATTAATACCAAAGGCTCATCGCCATCCTGAGGGAATTTACTCAAGGAAAGCAGCTGACGGCTGAGAGATGGCTCAGTGGAAAAGGGCACTTGCTGACAAGCCCAAAGACCTGAATTCAAACCCCAGGACCCACGTGGTAGAAGTAAAGAACCAACTCTCCTAAATTGTTCTCTGACTCTGTTGCTTATATGTGCCAACCCCCCCTCCCCCAATGAACGAAAAAGTAATAACAGCAACAACAAAAGCATTTGGATTGTGGAGAGACTAGCAAGTTCACAGCATTGTTTTAAGACTGTTGAAAGCTGGTATCTTTTACCCATCACCTTTCTACTTCTCCAACCCTGAAGGTCGACTAATCTGCTTTGTGTTTCTGTGGTTTCTCTGTTCTGAATATTCCCGAATTCCATTATGAAATAATATTACAACATTTCTCCTTCCATGCCTGACTTATCCCACTTATAATATTTTTTAGGCTCGTCTAATGGTTACTTGCAACAGTGGTGATTTATTTGCAGTTATTTTAAAATATTTATTTTATATTTATTCATGTGTCGGTGCATGTATTTGTATGTGTAGACGTACATGTGTGCAGGGCCTGTGGGGGCAAGAAGAGGTCACCAGTTCCCCCTAGAGCTGGAGTTACAGGTGGTTTATGCCCTGCCCTACATGGGTGCTGGGAACCCAATGGCAGTCTTCAGCAAGAAAAGCAAGTGCTCTTAACTGCTGAGCTGTCTCTCCAACCTCAACAATTGATTTTTATTTTTGGTTGTGAGCCTAGCCTTAAACGGCTAAGCCATCCCTCCAGGCCTCAACAGTTTATTTTTATGGCATAATAATATTCGATTGTATGGCTACACAGCACTGTTTTTGTCAGTCCTTTGGACTTGCGGTGGAACTAAGACTGAGGCTGTGATCTGCCCTGTAGAGAGTCTCTATGCACTAATTCATTTCCCCTGGGGGGCTTTGGGTGCTTTAAATGACTCTTCTCCCATCCTAACCCTCCAGACCACAGTAGCCTTGAAAATCAGCAGCCGGAAAAGCACAGTAATACCCAACCACCAGGCAGCCACTGGAGAGGCCGAGGAGCTGTTTGACTCTAGTTCCCAGGGCCTTGCCCTCCTCCTTTGGCCTCCTCAGCTGTCCCCTTAGAACTCACTGGCTGCCTTTCTTTGACCTGATTTGTAGTGGGCCCTGGGAACAGTTTTCATTTGTGTCTTTTTAATCTGGGGGACATTTGTTGAAAACAATTAGTGGCAATTGCTATCAGAGGCACTGGGGCAAAGCGATAGGTTAATCAAAAAGTGAAAGAGGGGACAGGGGAGAGAGCTCAGTAGTGGGGTACTTGCCTGGCAAGCTCAAGGGCCTGGGTTCAAGCCTTTGCAATGCCAAATAAAAAGTTCAGGAAAGTGAGCTATGTCACGAGATGCCACAGCAGGCTAATCTGTGAGTGCTCATGGACAACCCAGGACACCTGACCCCCAAGCAGGAAGTGAAGGCTGAAGCCAAGCTGTATACTGCCTGGCTAATGCTGACGCTAGCAGACTCTCTCAGGAGGAGGTAGGGACATTCACAGGATCTGGGTATTCCATAAAAATCTGTGGTTTTTGTGTTGGCCACCAGGCTGAGTGAGCCAGACTTCAATGGTTGACCTAACACAGAATTCAGGGTTCACAGAACCAGCTCGGACAAAGAATAAATGTCAACAACAAGTCCTTAGGGGGTAGAACCCGAGTTCCAAAAATTGCCATGTTGTATTATGTAATACGAACTATTTATTAGGTGTGCAAAACTAGCAAACAAACAACTCAAAACAAAAAATAACTCTTCCCACCAGAAAAATATGACCCAGTTACAGGAAAGAAGAATATGGGTGAAAGAGGTGGCACCTGAGGAAACCAGATATCAGACTTAATAGGCTTAACGTTTTATTTTATTTTTAGTTATGTGTATGCATTGTGTCTGTGTATGAGTATGTGGCCAAAGGGCTAGAGGCATTGGATCCTCTGGGGTTGGATATATAGAAAGTTGTGTTGTGGGAGCAAGGAATTGAACTAAGGTCCTCTGCAAGATCAATGAGCGCTTTTAATCTCTAAGCCATCTATCTAGTCCCTTTATTTTTATTATTCTTAAAGATAGAATATCATATAGCTGACCTTGAACTTGCTGTATAGCTGAGGATGACTTAGATCTCCTAACGCTCCTGTCTCTGCCTTCTAAGGGCATGTGTGCCACTATCATACCGGGTAGACAAAGACATTAAATTAGTTATCTTAAATATATTCAAGCAATCAAAAGAAACTGTGTATAGGAATTTGAGCATGGTGGCACACATCTTTAGTCCCATAACTAAGGAGGGTGAGGGTGCAGGATCGCCATGTATTCAAGGCCAGCCTGGGCTACAGAAGAGTCTGTCTCAAAGAAAACAAAAAACAACACAAAGAAACTAAAGGGAAATTTGAGAACATTCTCTCACCAAACATAACACAGTAGTAAAAAGGTAAAAATTATGAGAGAGCCAGAGGAAAACTCTGATGTTGAAAGTCAATAATTAAGATGAGAATTTCACTAGAGAGAAATTCATAGCAGTGGATGTGAGGAGGTAGAAGAAAGAACCAGAGAACATGGAGAGGAGTCAGCATCATTGAGATCGTGAGTCTGCAAGGAAAAATGAGGGGAGAGAAGCACAGCCACAGAGACTCATGGGAAACCACCAAAGCCACCAACACATGATGACTAGAACCTCAGAAGAGACAAAAAGAGGTAGAATAATTGATCAATCACCTACCCTATGCCTATTATCCATTTAATAATTAACTCTCAATTATCTCTCAATCTATTAACAACCTATCATCTATCTATATATCATTGATCTTCTATAACATCCTCCAGCTGTCTACCCATCATGTCATGTATGTATGTATGAATGTATGTATGCATGCATATATGTATGATCTGTCTGTCTGTTCTTGTTTCTTTTTTGTTGCTGGGACAAATACTCTGTCCCACAGCTACTAGGGAAGGAAAGGACTTATTTGGCTGACACTTCCAGGTCACATGTCATTACTGAGGGAAATCAGGGTGCGAGCTCAGAGAGATCCTCGAAGCAGAAACCATGGAGGAATCTTACTTGCTGGCTTCCTCTCTGCCCACTTGTGCTCAACTAACTTTCTTATATAGTTCTGGATCACCTACATAGGGATGGTACTGCCCACAGTGGGCTGGGATTTCCTACATCAATTAACAATTAAGACAATCCCTCCATAGACATGCCCACAAACCAATGTGATCTGTGCAGTCCCTCAGTTGAGACTCCCTTAGATGACTCTAGGTTGTATTGAGTTGATAGTTAATGCTAGCTAGAAGTGTTTATGTATGTATATACGCATGTATGTATTTATTTGTGTCTACATGTATGTCATCTAATATATCTGTCTACCTTATCTACAAATAGCATCTTTCTATACCATGTGACTATTTCTGTATCTATGTATCTCTCTATCCCCTTATATAGATAAACAAAACATAAGTACTAACAATTGGTGAATGTAGGTGAAGGTCATGGAGTGTGTCTCGGGTACTCTTTTGGTGTCCCTGTGTGAAAGCAGAAGCAATGTGTGGTCCTGACTGGAAGTGGTGCAGACACCGTTTATCACCAGCATGGGCCTGGCATGAATAGCAGAATACAGTGTCGTGTCTGGTGCTGGCAGACAGGGTGGGAAGTGCCTTGGACAATTAGAGTGAATGGAGCAGAAACTGAGCCTGGCATTAGGGAAAAGCAGAGCAGGATGAAGCGTGTGGTACTTCTCAGGGGGGTGTCAAGGAGTGCGGCATGGCGGTAGAGTTATTCCTCACTAGGGGGCATGGAGGGGCAGCAGTGTAGAGAACAGAACCTATGTCTAGTGTTAAGGGTGAATCAAGCAGTCTGTGTTGAGTCTGGTGGGAGGGCTGATGAGAAAGAACGCCGAGTCAGGCAAGCAAGCATGGAATAATTTAGCAACCTGGGACTCCACACGCCCTTCTCCAGACAATGCATATAACAACCTAGGTCTCCCCACCCCTTGCATCATGCTGTATGCCCACTGTGGACAATGGATAATGGCCATGAAGAACTCCCCCTTTGTGGGTAGTTTCTATTCAAATATTTTCCTGGATGTATCTGGGTATAGGAAGGAGGGGGCTGATCCAGTCTGATTTGGTTTTGGAATCATGAGCAGTATGGCATAGTGTGTCCTCTGAACAAACTGATAGGGAAAATTCTCTCTTTACCATCTTTTGTTGCTGTTGTTCTTTGTTTTGAGATTGGGGATTGTTATGTTGTCCTGGCTAATTGGTAACTCACTATGTAGATCAGGTTGGCCTGACCTCAGCGATCTACCTGACTCTGCTTGCCAAGTGCTGGGATTAAAGACATGTGCTACCATACCCTGACCCTTTTTACTGTTTTATACCTCTACATAATTGGGTGTACATATGATTAAAATCAGATGCATCATGGAAAAGAGAATGCACAATAAAGCTTATATAACTTGAATCTGTCAATCACAATAGAGAACCATCCAGATCATATTCATTAGTCATCAGTCCCTCTTTCCTTCAGGACCCATAAAAAGAAGTCCCAAACAGTGACTGGACCCTTGAGCCCTCTCTCACTCAGGTAGCCTGCTGCTGCTCTCTTTGGCAGGGTGCCTAATATATACTCTTGATTTACTTAAGAATAAAGTTTTCTTGCTATTTTGCAAACTGTATTCATCTCCCCTCACCTTCCAATTCTTTGAATAATATGCTAAGAACCTAGAAAGTGTAAATCAGACAGCTACTTCTGGAAACAATGCTACACGCAGCACGTATATTCATGGTGACACACTATGTGCTCCTCATGTCTCAGGCAGGGATGAGGGGTGCTGGCTTCTCCTCTATTCTAGGGTTCAGTACTCCCCAATGGTGCCACTCACCTTGGGTAGGGAGGCTCGGGAGCCAGAGCTCTGTGTGGTCATGGTGAGCACAGTAGTGATGCCCAGCCCCACACGAGCTGGTGCAGCATCCATGTTGATCCAGAAGGAGATCCAGGACAGGATGACGATAAGCAGGCTGGGGATGTACATCTGGATCAGGTAGTAGCCCATCTGCCGCTCCAGGTGGAACCGGGCCTCAATGCAGGTGAATTTACCTACAAGGAACGACAGCAAAGGAGCCATGGAACATGCTAGCGAGTAGCAGCGGTATTAGGGTCAACTTGACTAGAGTCCTGATTCAGCCCCACTCTGTCTGTACTCATAGGCAAGTGCTTGAATTGTTCTGTGCCTAGTTTCTTTACCTAGGGTAAATGGTGTAACACAGTTGACTCTCCATATCCATGGGTTCTACATTCGTGGTTTTAGCCAAATGCAAGTAGAAATATTCAGAAGAAGTTCATCTCCTCTGAACGTATGCAGGCTTTGTTCCTGTCATCGCACCTCAGACAACAGGCGAACATCTCTGTATACAGCTGAGTTAGGTATTGTCAGTCACCCTAAGATAATGTGTGCAGAAAGATGTGTGTATGTCATATGCAGACACTGCCCCACTCTACCAAGGGGACTTGAGTATCTTTGGTATCTTTGCCTCTAGGTGTCAGAGGGGGTCCTAGAGACAACCTTCTGGGAACACTAAAGGATGACAGACATCAACAATACATACTTCATATGGTTACTCTTTTTAAAAATTTACATTTATTTATGCATTTGTGGTGTGTGTGTGTGTGTGTGTGTGTGTGTGCGCGCGCGCGCAAGTGGGCATGTCATGCCATGGCCCTTGTGTGGAGGTCAGAGAACAGCTTGTGGGAGTGAACTTATCCTTCCACCATGTGGGTCCTGAGGAGCAACCTACGGTGGTCAGGCTTACTGGCAAGCGCTTTACCCTTGGAATCCTCTTGCCAGCCCTCATACAGTGGTTCTTGTGGTTTTAGTGGGGTGAAATGAGATGGTGCTTAGGAAGAACTATGGCAGTCCTCACACATCGTGGGTGCTCAGCAGCCTCATTTGCCAGCACCATCATGACCACTGTCATCCTCGTAATTATCACCATCACCAACGTCATTATCACTGTCATCTCGATCACCATTGTCCCTTCAGAGTCATTACCATCTTCATCATTGCCACCATCATTGGGATCAGCATAATTGCCATCTTCATCATTTTAATTATCTTCACCGTCATTGTCACCCTCACCTCTGCCGCCACCACCACCACCGCCATCACTATTTGTTTGCTAAGAGAGAGTACAGGTAGAGTTTCCAGACCCTTCTGCTCTGGTGTCCCCAAAGATGACTCAATTCTATCACTTCTTGTAAACCTTTTGTTTGATGACTCTTATTTGAGATGTTCATACCCACACTCTTGGACATCTTTATTTCTTCCTAAATATTTCTTTCTCTTAACTCTTAGGTTTTAAAATGACTTAATCACAACTCTGCTTAAGAATCCCTTTTTTTTGCTCCTTCTTTTCTTATATGAAACATTTCCTGTCCTCTACAGGAGAGTTTAAACTCTGTAGACTGTCCTGCCCAGTTGACCTCTGACCTGTATTTCTAGCAATTTCCCTCTTCCCTTACCCTAATGGTCACTCTCTGTCCCCTGTCCTTATCTGGATCATGCCTACTCCGTTACCCTTCTGAACTTTGATCTTGCCAGTATCTTTGCCCCTCTTCCTTCCCTCGGCCCAGGAAACGCCTTTGCTCTTGCAAGAACGCTTATCCACAAAGTGGCAGAAGGCTCCTTTCCTTGGTGTGTTCTCAGCTCTGCTCATGAGATCACCCAAGCCTTTAAGTCACAGAACAGCTGGTGAGTGAGTGAGTCAGTCAGTCTCTCTCTTTGGATCTTTGGCACTGGACTGGGCAGGCTTTTACCTCTTTTCACTCATGTATTACGGGAACTAAGACCATGCCTGCCCCAGGGAAGGGTCTAAGTTCCTGTCTACTGAAGCCAGGGACCAGGAGATTTCATGGGGCTCCATGTGATCAGCGCCCTGTCTATCTTTCACCTCTGTCCCCACAGGGCTTGACCCAAGACTGTAAAGGTGAAGCGTGGAGGAGGGAATGAGAGGAAAGGTTCCCTGCCCATCAGACTCTTTCCACCTCTTGGCTGCTGTCAGTAATGCTGCTGCAGGCACAGAACAATCGCGTCTCTGAAATCCTTCCTTTGCTTTCTAGATGGATATATAAAAGGTTATTGTTGCATCAGGATGCAATGGAAGAGAAGAGAAAAATAATAGAGTATTAGTCTTAAAAATAAGAAAATTGGGCAGAGGAGAGGGCTTATTGGGTGAAATTCTTGTTTGGGTGAGCAGCTGTAATCCCAGTCCTGGGGAGGAGGCAGGTGAATCCCAGGAGCTTTCTGCCAGCCAGTGTACCCCAAACGTTAGTCCCAGTTTAAAAAGAAAGCAGAGAGTGATAGAGGAAGGGACCTGCCATCCTCTGACTTCTGTGTGTACAAGCATAGTAACATATATTTGTATACACACGGGAGAGAGAGAGAGAGAGAGAGAGAGAGAGAGAGAGAGAGAGAGAGAGAGAAGATGATCCTGCCATTTCAAATATACGAATGGAATCGGCAGTCCCTTTCCTACCAAGTGAAGTGAACCAGATACAAAGACAAGTACTTTTCCATTTCAGTTATGCACATGGTCTGTGGCAGGCAAACTCACAGAAGCAGAAGGTGGAATGGAGGAGTTTAAGTGAGACAGTGGCCAAAGGGTGCAGAGACTCAGTCGTGCAAGATTATTAAACTCTGGAGATGTTGTACTGCGTTCCTGGTCCTGATCCATATGCACAGTCCTTCAGCCCTTTGTCAAGAGAGTGGACCTTAGGTGTACGTGTGTGTACATGCGTATGCACGAGGTGAGGCACATATCCATTAGCTTGATTGTGGTCTCCATTTTACAATTGATAGCACGCACATCAAGGTGTACATCTTCAATAAATATACTATTAAATTTTGGCAGTCAATTCTAGCCCAGGAAAGAGTGGAAGAAAAATGCTGCACGCTGGTAAAGCCTGTGGCTTGGGAGGATCTGCTGTGTCATTTGGACCCACGGTCAGTGGTTACTCGTGGTGGCCATTGGGAGTCCTGATATCTCAGAGTTAGCACACTCAGGGGCAAAGTACATCTTCAGACATCCGGAGACTTCTGTGCAGTGACCCAGAAAGCTGGAAGCTGTAGCTGTCCTAGGCAGACCAGAGCCCAGGCCGCCTGTCTCCCACAGGGGCTTCCGCTTACAGTGGCTTCTCCTGCCTCCCCGCCCCCCTCCCGTCTTCCTGGACCTGCCATTCTTCTATAGCAGGCACACCTCCGCTCTGCTCAGCTGGGGTCAGGCACAGCTTCTTACGAGCATGCCAGCTAGCATGCCAGTCGTCTTGTCCCTCCCAACAGTGCTCACACTAGCTGACTCTACCCACCACGGCTCCCAGAGAATGGACCAATTTTTAATTTTTACTAATTATCAGTTAGAACCATGGCCTCCCAGCTCCCTCTTGCTTGGTTGGGTCCAAGGCAAGCACTTTACTTCTGCACTATCAGAAACACAAGTTTCTGTGTGGCAGAGCCCACTCCGTCTACCAACTCCCCCTCCTTGCCTCGGTGGCGCAGGAGCCCCTGCCCAGAACAAAGAGTATTTACTAACTTCCTTTGTAATTAGGTGTGGCCTGGCTTACGTTAACATCCCCAGGATTCACAGAAATAACATCTCAATGTTATTTACTTATTTATTTATTTATTTTTGGTCCAAACCTATTCCATTAACCACCAGGTGATAAACACAGACCACGCAGTTCTGCGACTGAACGGTGTCTGAAATGCCCTGGGGTCCTGAATGGCATGACGTCTCTGGCACCCACCTGTGTTGTAGTGCTTGGTGCAGTATCTCAGGTCCTTCTCCTCTTTCAGGATAAACTGAGGCAGCGTCAGTCCATCTGCCACCTGCACCGCTCCCTGCTCCTGCCACTCAAAGATGAGGTCATTCATGGTGTATCCAACTGGGAGGGATCGGGAGAAGGAACAGTCACCAAGATCTCTGTGTTACACTTAGGGTTGGGGGCTGGGTTAAGCCTCAGATCACGGTGGAGGCCAGGGGATTCCATTGCCTTTTCTTCTTTACCTCCCTTGTATAGGAGGTGAATTGTTGAAATTCATTCCCCAGCCCTCCCACCTAGCTTGGTCCTGGGGCCCGGCTCCTCACCCCAGGATGAAGGGTGATTGACAACCAGCACTTCTTGCACATGCCACCCCGCAAAGCTTCCCCTTTTGTTCCTTACAGGTTTTCCTTTGGGGAGTGAATCTACCAAGTGTGATCTTGATGAGAAGCGTAGGTGGGAAATGGTGGCCTAATCAAGGCCACCAGATTTCTGCTCCAGGACCAGCTCTTTTTTGTTTTCTTGAGACATGGGCTCATGTAGCCCAGGCTAGCCTCAAACTCACTATCTAGCTGGATCTGTCTTCAAACTCACAATCCTTCTGCCTCAGCCTCCTGTGGTGTACATGACCTAGTAGTTTGTACCTTATGTGTGTGGTGTAGCATACATATATGTTCACGTGGTTATGTGAATGTGTGTGTGTAAGCCAGAAGCTGATGTCGGATGTCTTCCTCAATTGCTCTCCATATCATTTATTTTTAGAAAATATTTTATTGTTATTATTTTTTTTAAATATTTATTTATTTATTATGTATACAGTATCTGTCTGTGTGTATGCCTGCACACCAGAAGAGGGCACCAGATCTCATTACAGATGGTTGTGAGCCACCATGTGGTTGTTGGGAATTGAACTCAGGACCTTTGGAAGAGCAGGCAGTGCTCTTAACCGCTGAGCCATCTCTCCAGCCCCTTGTTATTATTTTTTTTGTGTGTATATATATATACATATATATATATATATATGTATGTGTATGAAAGTGTCACATGCTTGCAAATGGCCTCAGAGGCCAGAGGTGTCAGATTTTCCTGGAGCCAGATTTTCGGGTGGTTGTGAGCTGACCAACGTGGGAGCTGGAAACTGAACTTAGGTCTTCTGCAAGAGCAACATATGTGTTCTTCTTTTTAAAAATGTTTTATTTATTTTTATTTTATATGGGTTGGTGTTTTGTCTGCATGCATATCTATCTATGTGAGGGTGTCGCATCCTCAGCAACTGGAGTTACAGTTGTGAGCTGCCCTGTGGGTGCTGGGAATCCAAGTCCTCTGGCTCCAGCCCTGCAGTATGAGCTCTTAACCACTGAGCCATCTCTCCAACAACCACCTTAGTTTTTGAGACAAGGTCTCACTGAACATGGAACACATTGCTTCAGTTGGGTTGGTTGGCCAGTGAGTTCCAGAGATCTGACCATCTCTGCATCCCTGGCTGTGCTTGCCTTTTACGTGGGTCTGGGACTCCAAAATCAGGTTCTGATGCTTGTATCGCGGACACTGGACTGGCTGAACCTCTCTCCTTGTTCTGTTTCCTCCTTCCACCAATACACTGCACTAGCTCCTCTTTGCTAGAGTGACTTGGGCAGTCAGTTGTCTACCTCCCCTGCTGGTGAGCATCCTCAGACCATGACTTCTCTATGACATTACTCTTCATTCCTAGCAGGCCCATTCACAATGTACTTGACACCTTGCTTCTTCCTGGAAGGATGCAGCTGAAGACAAAGTCTGTGCCCCAGTGAGACAGAGTGGGGGAAGTTATATTTCTATTGTATATTCTCAAAGGACTCCTCCCCTCTTGGCACTTTGAGCTATAAAAGTATTCTCTTGGGTTCCAGTGATTAGGGAATTTCTTCCCAGCAATGGGTAAATAGGAGGCTGGTTCCTTTAAAAAACAAAACAAAACAAAAACCTAAAAAACGATTCTGGCAAGGGACTCACAGCTTTCCAGTTGCATGATACATGTCTGTACGTCCATTGGGAAGTTCTTCAGGTCCATGGGGCAGGCCAGTGTCAAGGTGATTCTGAAAAGAGAAGGGATTGGGCTGATGTGGGGACCACACTCAGGGAGTCTGTGCCTCCATGCTTTTGCCAGTTGAAATCATTGTTTTAGGGTGGGGACCGGAGACCTGAGGACCAGTGCTTAGAGAATAAGTGTGTGCACATTTCCAAATTCCCGGGATGGCAGAGGAGGCTTGGTGATGGAAAGGTGGTGGCCAAAGTCAGAGAGACTTCTGGGTTTCTCTGAAACTTTCTTGGCTGCTAGAGACCACTTTTTTTTTTAGCAGATTGTTGGGGTGCCAGGTGCTGCCCTATGCCAGTTCTTCCTTCAGGGTTTCCATTGCGACCCCAGCCCCAGGTGCTCCTACGCTTCAGCAGTAAGTGCTGTACATAGCTCTTGGCTGCTTCCAGCCACAGACTGGGCCCGCCAAAAGTGAGTCCAGAGTCCCCCTACCCCCACTGCTGACTGTTCCCACACAGCTGACTCACATCTGTGGGTACAGGCAGGGGCAGGTGGAGAGCAGTGGGCCAGTTATTTATTTTGGGGGTGTTCAACCCTTATAAAAGCTGCAGCCCCAGAGCCAGAGAGAGCCCTCTGTGATATCCCAGGCGGGTAACTGAGTCCTGGCGGAGCTGATTCTGGGATTGGCAGACATAACTCCCTGCTGTCCTGAGGTCAGCCTTACTTCTTTGAGGTACCCGGATAGAGATGTCTCCACAGAACATAGCCACTACCACCGCAGCTCCACACCTAGCCCTTTGTGAACGTCCCTTCCAGCTCACACCTCAGGTGTGTGGATGTCCTCCAAGAACTTTTTTTTTTAAAAAAAAGCAGGAGATGAATGGGTAGAAAGAGGGAGGAGAAGGGATGCAGGGAAGGGGCGGGAGGAGTGGAGAGAAAATGAGCGAGACCCATTTCTGAAGATAAAAGCTCCGAAGCGGGGCAGCTGTCAGACCGGGTTAATTTCCAGATGCTGCATGACCTTGGGACCATTGCTTTCTGCTGACCTGTCCTTCTGTCAGGTTGCACCGGGACTCTGCTTCCCAGAGACATGAAACTGTCCTGGCAGCAGAGACTTCCAGGCAGAGGTGACCCTCCCTCCAGCAACCCACGGGGGCTTGGTGGCTGACTCCAAGACCCGTGTCATTCTTCGTCTAAATGTGGCCAGTAGGGTGAAGTCAATCCGCAGAGTGGTGAGGGTTCTGAGACTGTGGGGGTACTGAGCCCAGTCCCCTCTGAGGGTCAGGATCAGCCCAGCCCCTGCTCTTTCCATCCTGCCTCATCTGGGATATTTAAGGCTCCTCTCTGAATGGGAGATGAGACTTCTCTCCCACCGAGGAACTGAAGGTAGAAGGGATGGTCACTTAGCTCTCTGAAGTGCCTTTAACTCAGAACACATTTCTTCATTATCACGTATTGATGGGCAGACATTAAGTGGTGGCCCATGGCCATTCTGATTCTCGAGAAGTCTTGGGACCCAAGTGGAAAGCTGTGGCTCTCTTAATTCTCCAGAGGGCAGGGACCCACACTAGTGCCCCATCAGAACTTACTTTCTGACAGGAGCCGTGAAAACTTGGGAAGGTTTCCCAAGTTTCCACATTCGTACTTTTTCTGATGTATATAATGGGATCATCAAACCTAACTCACGAGTTATATAATGATGTCATACATAAGCAGAGCTCTGCGTGGTACGTTCTCCAAGATGCCAGTGCGTGAGCGTGAGCCCATTTTTCCATTTGCATTGTCCATTGTCCCTGTGCCCTGGGAGAGGAAAGTAGGGACTAGAGGTACGTGTGTGTATGTGTGTGTGTGTGTGTGTGTGTATGTGTGTGCGTGTGTGTGTGTATGTGTATGTAGGGGACAGGGAGCTGGTGTCACAGGACACTCTGAAAGTTTAGCACCTAACTAATGTCTATAGGCTACAGGCACGGGGAGGTGTCCTGTCTTCCAAGGTTTAATACAAGGCAAGTGGGATTTAAGGCAGGGAGGCAGCAACCCTGGCTCATTCTCGTGGACCGTGCCATTCCCTGGTGGTCCCATTTACCGCCAAGCTGCTGTGTCTTGGCAAGCTTTGTTCCTTAGACTTGCTACCGATCATGTCTGAGAAGTCTATTTTGCCTTTTGTTGAAACGCAGGGTGACTTAAACGCCACCTTCCCTCACAAGCCTTTGTCCCACCCTCCCTCCGTGCTTTTTGCTGGCTCTAGAACTCACCTGATGCTGTAGAGCACATTGCCATTCCGGGAGATTCTCAGCAATTTGTTGTCAGTGGTGATCTCGTGGAAGTGGGCTCCCTTTTCGTTGGCAAAGAACAGGTCAGGCTTCCAGATGGAATCCAACATGGACGGGTCAAGGTCCAGGGAGTCATCGGGGTACTCATTGTAGGCCAGACGGGGGTCATTCCACTGCTGCCTCAGGAAGATGTTGACCCTGTAGTCCTTCAGACCCAAGACAGCAGTGGGGGTGGGGTTAGGTTCTGGGTGCCAACTCTCAGAGGACTTGGGTGTTTATGACTCATGGACTCCAAAACCTATCCGGGAAGAGGCTGAGTGTGACTGCCTCCCCTGGTTTACCTGGGCATCAGGGGACCAGCAATTACTCCTTTCTGTCCTCAGCTAAGTATACATAAGTCTGAACTTTAGAACAACCTTTTTATTTTGAAGGAATTTTAGCCAGACATGGTGGCTCATGCCTGTAATTTCAGTACAGGAGGTTGAGGCAGCAGTACTGCCATGATTTGAGGCCAACATGGGTTACATAGCAGATACTGGGTCAGGACTGCAGAACATGACTCTGTCTTAAAACAACAAACAAACAAACAAACCAAGAATCAAAAAAATTAAAAAATAAATTTCCAAGACTAATGTAATAGGTCTGTTTTCTTTTTCTTTAAAATCAAAATCAAATCTCCTTCCACCATATGGGTCCAGAGGATTGGACTCAGGTCACCAGGTTTGATGGTGAGCACCTTCACCTGCTGAGCCTTCTCCCCAGTTCCCTGCTTTTAGCTTCCTGTTAACATATTGTTATATTTACTTTCTATTTTTTTGTTTTGTTTTTTTTGAGACAGGGCTTCCCTGTGTAGCCTTGGATGTCCTGGAACTCTTTCTGTAAACCAGGCAGGCCTTGAACTCTAGAGATCCATTTGCCTCTGCCTCCTGAGTGCTGGGATTCAAGGTGTGTGTTGACACATCCAGTTTACTCCTCCACAAATAAGTGTAAAGTGTAGAAAGAGAAGTTCAAGGTCAATCATAGCTGTGGAGTTTGAGGGCATGCTGGGATACAGGAGACTCATGCAGCCAAGGCAGGTCCAGCCGAAGTTTTCTTCAATTGTTTTCACCAATCATGGAGTTTAGTTTTGTTCACACTTGGAAAAGCTGGCAGGACTCTGGGCAGATGTAGGTAAGGAATATTCCATTAAAAAAGTATTTCAGTAGTAAGTCTTTTAGGGGCTGGAGAGATGACTCAGTGATTAAGAGCACTGACTCCTCTTTTAGAGGACTCAGGTTCAATTCCCAATACCCACATGACAATCACAACCACCTGTGACTTCAGCTTCAGGGCGACCTGACACCCTCTTTTGACCTCTACCAGCAAGGCACACACCCACTCATACACAAACATATAAAGACAAAGTAAGTCTTAAAAAAAGGAAAGCTTTGAAGCCTGTCCTGGAACTAGCTTTTGTAGACCAGGCTGGCCTTGAACTCACAGAGATCTGCCTGCTTCTGCCTCCCGAGTGCTGGGATTAAAGGTGTGCGCCACCACCACCTGGCTTAAGGAAAGTGCTTTAATTTTGATGAAAAGGTACTGTAAACTTGGGGTCCATGAGTGTAGTGGCACTGTAAATAGAATTTGGGGTGCATTTCTGCTTCCCAAGGCAGAAGGGCAGAGCGTCAGTGTTGAGCTACCCAAAGGGTATCACTCTCCGAAAGATTAATGACCCCAAGTCTGACTTTTGGTGCCAACCTTCAAGAAATAGTACACACACACACACACACACCCCACACCCACATCCGTGTACATATCTCCACACCCATGCACCCAACCACTCACCCACACATACATCCACACCCATGCACACTCATGTGTGTGCACACATATACACCTCCACACACCCTTACTTGTCTGCATACATACACCCCCACACATGCACATCCCTCATACCCATGCACCCACCCACTCACCCACCCATACACCCACACCCATATTTGTGTTTGAGTGCACACACACACACACACACACACACACACACACATTCGAGATAACACCCTTTCTCCGAGGGTGCCCGAAAAGTGAGGCCACACTGTCTTTTCTTTTGGAGAGCTGCTTCTGAGCCCTCATCAGTCTTGATCGGTCACTAGTGGGGATGAGTGAGATCTTCCCACGCTCACTTCACCCCTGTCTACCGCTTCCCGTGTGCTCCATTCTGGTGGAAATATCGATAGCTTCATAAAACATTCTAAAGTGTTTTATAGGATTTTCCTATAATTTAATTGCAGTGTGCCCCTCAAGCCCCATAGAAGGTGACATTTGGTCTCATAATCTCAGGTCTTATGAGTCCCATGATGAGGACTAGGCCTGGATATTGTTTAAAAAGCCCCGTTCCAGGGAATCTGACACCCTCTTCTAGTCTGCACGGGCACTGCATGAACAGAAATACATGAGGTGAAAAACCCATACATATCAATAAAAATAAATAAATAAAAATAAAAAATTTCAATCTCTCTCTCCGTGTGTGTGTGTGTGTGTGTGTGTGTGTGTGTGTGCGTGCGTGTGTGTATGTGTGTGTGCACGCACAAGCATATGAGTGAAGATGTGGAGGTCAGAGGGCAACTTCCAGAGGCACATTCTTTCCTTCCATTATGTAGGACTCTGGTCTCAATCTCAGGTTGTCAGGCTTAGTGGCAAGTACCTCTACCTACTGAGCCATCTCACCAACCCTGGACGTTGGCTTTTGTTTTTCTCGCATTGTTGATGACATCTCTGAAGCTAGACCCTCCTCTCCTTCTCCTTTGGAGCTTATGCAGAGTGTGTTATGATGGGTTCTGGGAACGTCACCTGGGAGTAAACAGACTATGAATGGTTGGGTAGAAAAAGCCTCCAGTCCCCAAATCCCAGTCATGCTTTTGATGTTCCTGCTAGTGACATGTCAAGGCTGGGCATGTAGCTCTGAGGAAGAAAAGGAAGTGACATTTCTTAAAATGTTTTCCATACTGCCACACACGTTTAATTCTCACGAAAGCTCTGCAAACAAACACCCAGATTCATACAACAAGGGGGAGAAATGGGCTTGGAGAGGCTGAGGGATGTGTCCAAGAACAGGGTTTATGGATTGGGGAATCTAGGGCTGGGATCCTATTGGCCCAACCCTCTAGTGAACACATGATTTGGATGAGGGAAGTTGGCTCTTGCTTTGGATGCTCTGGCCCTTGTTGCCTGGCAAATTCTGTGAACTCAAGCCCCACCTCCTCTACTAACTGGAGGCGCTAGGTACCCCCTGGCTTTCTTGCTGAGCTCCCAGGAGAATGGAATCCTCAGAAACACCCATCTGAGTGCCTCCTTCCTGAGAGTGGCTCCTCCCAAGTGTGGTTGGCAGCAATTGGAAAGGGTGATGCTGAGCTCCTGTTTCCCTGCAGCAGCTCTGCTACCCCAGCAGTCCCCTCCTACTTTCATGTCTTACTTTTCTTCTTTTTGCAGAAGTAATGCATGCAAACAAAGAGAATGGTGTATCATTTGAAAGAAGAAATAGATCCCATAGGATCTCATTATGAAATGACAAATGAGAGTCAGAGCCAGAGACTGGGGCAGACTATAGTAGGGTCCCCAATGCCTGACTTCTCTTGCCCATGGCCTCCAGTTCCTGATAGCTTCCCTGGCTTCTGAGTTCTCCCCATGACCATTGGCACTGCCTGGAATCTATTTCTTAGGCTCCCACCGTGGAGTTTTCCTCTTAGGGTTGGTAAACGGTTGGGAAGGAAGCACAGAAGGGATCAAAGTGAGTGGGTCAGTGGTTGAAAGTCAAGGGCTGTTTTGACTTCTTAGCCTTACACTTTGCTGGCTTGGTGTTTGATCTATGTGGAGTTCATATGCAAGTTCAAAACCAGAGAGGCAACAATGGAATTCTCCAATCAAGGACTTAAGGTCCCACTCTCTCAAAGGCAGTTCAAATCCCCAAAGTGGGGGACACTCAGAGGCATAGTCAGTCCAACTATCTTCAGCATCAACTCACCCCACTTTCAAGACAAGGTTCCTTGACACTCTGATTTCTGGTAACTGGACAACTTAGTTGTTTTGCTTATAAGACCAGCGAAAGACATTAACTCACCCATCCATCTTCATCCATCTGCCCTCCCATCCATCCATCCATCCATCCATCCATCCATCCATCCATCCATCCATCATCTATCCATTGTTCATCCACCCATCATCTATTCACTCATTCATTCATCCATCCATCCATCCATCCATCCATCATCTATCCACCCATCCACTCATTCATCCATCCATACTTTAAACATGTGAGGGCCTCCTATTTGTCAGTTCTAGCTGTATTTCTCCCTCTTTCCTTCCTTATGGTGTCTAATCTAACATTCTAACATCCAATGAGCTTCTTTAAATTCAGAATTGGGGAGAAATAGGAAGCACAAAATGTTTAAACAGGAAAGATCTCAGAGTTTGTGAGGGTGTGTTATTGAAAAGGCGATGGGGAAGACCAGAGGTCCACTCGCTGTTGTCAGAAGCAAGAGACACGACTGTGAGGGATAGACGGAGGAATAAAACTCATGCTCCTATTTTTTTATGTATAGTCCGGGCTGTCCTCAAACTCTCCATCCTCCTGCTCCAGCCTCCTGAGTGTTGGATTATAAGTGTATGTCATTATACTAGACTCATGCACCTCTTAAAAAACAATGCTTTATTACTTTTCTTGGGTGTGTGTGTGTGTACATGTGTTGGTATGTGTGTGCACATGCTATGGCATGGGTGTTGAGGTCAGAAAACAGCTCGCTGGAGTTGGTTCTCTCCTGTTATGTACGTTCTGGAGCTCCAACTCCGTTTGTGAGTCTTTGCCTCATTTGCCTTTGCCAGCTGAGTCATCCATCTGCAGGCCCCTGTGCTCCGTTTGAAGTCTTAGCTTTCAGCTCTCAAGGAGAGAGCGGAGATTTCCTTTGCTAAACTCAAACGAACTCTTACCATGGATTGGGCTGCGTTGGATACAGACAAGCAGAAGCAGAAGCGGAGGCAGAAGGTTTTGGTTTCTGCCCTCGGTGAACTCAGATTATCCAGCACACAAGGCTGGCAGGGGTCATAAATCTCCACTCCAGGAAGCTCAGCGAGTCAGTGGTCTTAGGATGTGCTAACAAACTGTTATCACATGCAGCCCTGGAACCACAGGGGCTTGTTCCCAGCAAGGTTAGACGAGAAGGTGGCACCTGAG